GATGCACGCCAGACGCTGGCATATACTCGCAGGCACGCGCCGCACTGCGTTGCTTTGACGCAGGCACGTTTTAGCACGCCCGGCATCGCTTCGTCACGAAGCTAGACAGACGTGGTGCATTCTGAGTAACGTGGTTGGTGCGAAATGCAGCATGTCGCATTTCGCACCGTTTGCCGCCGGGCTGCGCCGACAGACGCTGGTCGCGTCTGGCGTCAGACTATAGGGTGCTCGCCTTTTCTAGCGTAGCCTCACTGCACCCAGCGTGCGCTCGTCAACGTAGCGTCGCAGTATATTGGGCCCTTCGTGATGCTCTCCCCGCCGTTTCGCTATAGCTCCACACATTCCAAGTTTGGTAATGCGGGACGTGAATGAACGACGAAGGTATGTGACTGGTGCAAACATGATAATTGTCAGATGCGTGTCATGTAACTACATGACCACATGCCACGCTCATGATGCACTCGTGGTCGTTTCTCTAGCTTCACAAATACCTATTTGGTATTGCATGTCGTCAATAGAGGGCGAAGTTAAATGACACGTCCGAACATATTTGGGATATGCATGCCATGTAAAACATGACTACATGGTACGCTCATAGCACACTCGTAGCCGTTTCGCTAGCTCCAGAAACTGAATTTTGTATCAGGTGGCGTGAATAGATGATGAAAGTAAATAACACGTCCAAACATAATAATAATGACATGGAAGTTATGTACGGCATAACTTACCTCCACCTCGTAATGTTGTTTTGATTTTAAACTGACATATAAACCTTCCTCGTTGGTGCTTCGCATAACATCGATTCCCACTGTACGTGGGATCTGCCAGTTCTTTTTGAAGATGAAATTGTAAGAATTTCCTTCAAATTTAACATAATGCTAATGGCCCTTCCGATGGCCAGCTCAAAACGAAAATTTCGCTACAAATACCTTGACGTGTGGAAAGTGCAATTTTGTTGTTTTAACTATAACACTTTATATCGCTTAGATAATTATTATGAACCGAAGGCAAGCAATTAGTATAGGTTGAGCATTAAGGCTTCTCACAATACTCTTTTTCTTGCTCATTAGATATCTTATACACAGTTTCTTGTTAATTATTTGCGTTCTGCACGTAATGTGGAGCAATGTGGACTAATAATTGTTCATAACCAGAGAAGTTCGTGGCATAGAAAGTGTGTAAAAAAAAGCCTTATTTTACACGTTGCAATGGTAAAAATGAAAACTATACACCTTTCTATAAAACTGATATATTTTAAACCAGCATAAAAATCTATGTAGACAGCCGCAATTCTATTAATTCAGGCTGTAGATCAAAGATTCTTTCTTTTTTTTTTTTGAGTAGCATCTCCCGTTAGTGTACGAACGAGCGCAATAGGTAAAAGGGCCTGAAAGTGTTACCACTTCAGCCATCGAGAGGAACTTAACGAAAGGAAATGGGGACGCGGAAGAAGCAGATGACTGTTTGCAGCCGTACGGCTTTGTTATCGAAGCTATCTCTTGTTTCTTTTCAGTCTCCACTGATGGCTCTTTTGCACGACGCCTCCACACTGCCGGCTAGTGTTTGTGGCTTGACTATTATCGACCTCCTCAACTGTTGTCATTGTGACACATGTTGGACATACGCTGAAGCTCTATTAGAATTGCTCAGGTCGCAGTTTTATGGACTTGACGAATGCGGTATGGCACTGAACAAAAAAAAAAACGTTCACGCCGAAAAGGATGAAAGCTTCCAATGATATGAAAGTAGAGCAATAAATAGCCTGTAATATCCTTAACAGTGCCGGGCGTCATTCTCGAAATCAATATGTACGTTCGCGGGTAAAAGAGTTTTCGAATATTACAAGTGTTTATTGAGCTGTATTCGCACGACGGACCAAATCGTGATTCGAATCTGCGGATTTCGTACTGCGTCACTATACGTCAGCCGTTCTCGCGTTTCCGCTTCGGTACGCGGGGACTAATTTGGAAAATGACGGAAGCGCAAATCTGTGTTGGGAT